AAATTACAAAAAAAGGCCATGTTAGTCCTTATGTCAACTCCCAAATATGTAGAGTGGCCCTTTTCTTGTACTTTCAGGGACCAATTTGGTCCTTTTTTATTGCCAGGGACTGAAAAGGACTTCGTAAATATTGCCAGGGACTAAGAAGGGTGTTTACTCTTTTAATTTTTGAACCGGTCATGAGACTAATCTCGACTCGAGGTTTAGTCTCAATTAAGATTATCTCAAATTTTAAATAAATTATATGACAATATTTTTTTTTATAACTATGACAATATTATCTGTCACATAAAGAAATTGCTGAAGAATTCAAGTGTGAATGATTGAGTGAAAAAAAGTCTCACATTGGTTAAGAATGGACTAAGTGAGCAATTGAGCACCATATAAGTGGAAAGACCCATGCACCTAATGCTTTAAGATTTTGGGTTTGATTGTGGTGTTCCGAGCCACTTAATGTTGCTGCTCACTTGGCCCATGGTTGGTGGTCTCTCCCCACCATGAGCTCCCCGTGAACGGCCCAACATTGGTATCAGAGCTAATGGTGGATTGGCTGGCCTGTGGTGATCCGAGTATGTCTTGATGTAGGAAGCCAAGGTCTTGATGGATAGTCAAGCCTTGATGAGGAACCCCATGAATACTCGAAGAAAGAATGTGGCCGATTCACACTTGAGGGAGAGATGTTGAGGAATCCAAGTGTGAATGATTGAGTGAAAAAAAGTCCCACATTGGTTAAGAATTGACTAAGTGAGCACCATATAAGTGGAATGATTCATGCATCTAATGTCTTAAGGTTTTGAGTTTGATTATGGTGTTCCGAGTCCACTTAATGTTGCTGCTCACTTGGCCCATAATTAGTAGAAATGTCCACAAATTTGAATTAACTAACACGATTGTCTTTTTTTTTAGTAATGGTCTCACAATTATTTTTTATGCTCCATTCATGTTTACTAAAATATATATATTTATTACAAAGCGATCTAATTTAAACTTTTATATTATTTACACAGTTTTATATATGAACCGAACGTGAAATGATATTTTGATCCCTCTATATGACAAGTCTCTTAAGAATGTGTTGACTTTCAAGTACTTTTTAATGAACCGTGCATGATGATTGAAGAGAAAAGAAGAAAAACGTATTTGCCAGCAAGTGATTTCAACGAAGGATTAATATAGGGCACATGGTTTTGTTTAATCTGTCACATCTCACATTTCCTTTATATATATTATGGAAAAAACATTTATGATATAACTTTGCGTCATTTTATATCTTAACCGTTGATTTTGGTCAACGGTTAAGATTTATTGGGTCAAACTTATTAATAAATTAGTAATTTACAATAAAACTCAATAAATTCTAACCGCTGATTCTAAAATGACACAAAATTATATCTTTTAAAAAGACAAACATTTTTTTTTCATATATTATTCATTGGTTCATTAGATTATCATTATATAAAACCATTAATATAACCTCACCAACAGCTTAAATTTTGATTTGAAATAGTTCTTTACATAGCATTTAGAGCTTCATGTCACGAGTTCGATCCTTACCGCCCTCATTTAATTAATAATTAATTTCGTATTATGGAGTTTCTTAACACAAGTAAGTGGATCTGTGCATTGTCCACATTTTAAACCCAATAGGCTTTCGTACGAGGAAGCGTGTTAGAATTATATAAAACTATTAATATAGTCTCATTCAACAGCTTAACCTGTTGGGTTGAAATAATTTTTACACATTAATTACTCGACTAGTTCAATTTGAGCCGAAATATTATATAGGCGGCAAAATTTTTCCTACCAAATTTTAACACATATGCTTTTGTAGAAATTCGAACTCAAACAAAACCAATGATAAGTTGAAACAAACCCTTACGAGTTAATTCACATCTCACATCTCCGAGAAGAGTGAACGTACTAATTAGCAAGTGAAAATAAACTAAACCTTTCCCATGGGCAAAATAAAACATGTTCTTGGAAAGGTTGATTATTAGGAATAGGAAACCACCAGCTTATTTAATCGGTTCCGGTTTATTTGTAAAAAGGAGAAAAAATTAAGGACAACATTCCAAGAAACATTCGTTGGATTTCGTTTACCAAAGCATGCACTTCTTATCTTATGGTTCATAAAAGATGGTGTGTTCAATATATCGATAGTGTAAATTAATGTGAAGTAAAAATGAAATTGGTTAACTTGATCTAATTATCAGTAAGGAAATATATATTTAATTTTAAAACTTCGGTTAGATTACGTTGCAGGCTATTTTCAAACCCGCATTTATTATAAGTTCTAGTTTAACACCTTACATGCTTATTGACGTTACAGACGTGTTATTCAATCAAATGCCAATTCAATTACTTAATTACAACTTATACGAATACATAATTAGTTTTTAATTAATTGATGTTTGAGAATCAATTAAATATTATCTCTTATTATTTAAGCAAATCATTAATTATAGGTGGTTGAATGATTAAATTAGTTTAACAATTACTTAACATAGTGAATGCTTTTAATTTGCTAAAAAATAAAGGATAATATGATAAAAAGTAAAGAGAAAAATGTTTCTGCAGTTAATGCAGATAAGTTATCTGCATTTATTCCCAAAACAACATCGTTTTGGTATTGAAATCTTAAAAAATTATGAATATAAAAATTATTATAACCCTAAAATAAATTAAAATTACAAAAACACCATGATTTCTGCCCCAAAACGACGTCGTATTGACTTACTGCAGATAAGTAGAAAAAATGAACCCAAAAGTAAAATATATTTTATTTGATTGTTCAAATAATATATATGCTGGATTAAAAAAAACAACTTAACGAACTCATATATGTCTAAAGTTTGTTATCCACTAAACAAGCTATAAAATCTTGTCTACAGAATAAAAAGAAAAGAAGACCAATATTAACCTTATTCCTTGATTATCTTAATTTCATTGCATGCAAAACAATGTCCAGCATAAATATTGTTATAATAAATTTTACGTTATTTATATGGGATAAATTATTCTACTTACTTTTTTTTATGGCTACATTACCTACCACTCTCCAACACCTTTAAATCAGAATCTTAAAAGGAGAGAGAAATAATAAATGTTAGTTGAGATTCTGATCTAACGATGTTAGAAAATGATAGATACGGTAGGCATAAAAAAAGATAAGTAGAATAATCTAGGAAAAACTTTTTATCATTTCAAAGGACTTAAGTTATGTTCTTTTAGCTGCTAATAACTATGTGTTTTAGAGAGTAATAGTTATAATATTAAAGTTATATTTTTTTCAACTTTTCACGTCAGCCGATAATTTCTAAAAAAAAAAGTACAATTTTAATATTATAACTATGTAGTTCTCATAATTCATAGTTATAAGCATGTAAAAGAATATAACTTAGATCCTTTAAAAGAACAGACCATTTTCCCAATAACCTACCTATATTTATATTATGCATTAGGGAAAATAGTTTGTCTTTTTAAAGGATTTAAGTTATGTTATTTTATCCCTGATAACTATGTATTCCGGGGAGTGAAGTATATAATTATAATATTAAAGTTATATTTTTCTCTCTCTTTAAAAATTGTCGTCAGATGTAAAAAATAAAAAAAGTAATTTTAATATTATAATTATATACTTCTCAAAATGAAAGAATATAATTTTAAATACTTTAAAATTGCAAAACGTTTTTCCTATGCATTAACTATCTAAACTAAAAAAATAATTATTGGTAACTCAATCTCATGTTCTGGAAGTCCTCTATCTCTCTTAATATGCGTATGCATAGAATGCAAGCAATAGTGTGTAAAGAGCTCTTGCACAAATATTTGGATTCAGTGCTTATTTATGGGATTGCTGAGATCAAGACACATCAACACGATTGAGGCATGATCGTAGCAGTCCGTGTACATGTGTTCGTTTCTTTTTCTATGAAATAATTTGTCAGTCTCATCACAGTTCACTTGGCCTTAATTAAAAATAATCATCTGCCACTTGCTATTAGGAAACCCTAAATTTTTACAAGGCATTAATAATGAGAAATATTCGGGTTAACTCAACAATATTAAACATATAATCATCTGACATAATTAATGTTTTTTATCATTATTATATATAAAATGATACAATTAATTTGTTGTTAATTAATTAATTAAATTTACTTAAATTACATGAAAAAATGGAATACTATATTCTACCTACTTTCTTTTCATGTCTGCCTTATCTATTCAATTTCACTACTGTTAGATCATAATCTCAATTAGCTTTTAGCTTTTATCTCTCCTCTTGGAATAGGCATAATAATATCTTATCCAAAAAAGATAGCCATAATGTCTTATCCGAAAAAATTTACCTAACTATGTTTTCTTTATCGTTAATCACATATGGTTTTTTGCCAGTTTATTTATTTAATTTTTTAACCCAATTTTTTTTTGCTTTTTATTGGAAATCAACCCAAAATTTTCTGTACCAAACAATAAGGCCCAATTATAATATAGTCTATAGTCAACGGACACCTTCGTCAAGATTCCCATAATGTGAAGTTTTCCTGATTTGTTTTTGTCAGCACTGTTCTTTCAAGCAAGAACATACACATACATAGCTTGTGATTTCTTGAGCTTGGATAACAACTCAAAAGCTTGAGTTATCGACCCTATTTTCGAAGCAGGGTACAACATATTTTGTGCCAAAACAGGGAAATTTATGACCTTTTTCGATTGTTCACTCTGAAACATTTACAGTTAAATTCAGAGGAAATAAGGATAAGAAACAAAAAAATAGCCAAAAAAAGTTGATATAAAAACATAAAATCAAACAGAGAGAGCAGTGTCAAACATAGAAAGTGAAAGAGAAAAAAGGAAAAAAAAAAAGGCTAACATAGAAAGTGAAAGAGAAAAAAAAAAAAGATTGAGATTACAGAGAATAGAGATTATATAACACAAAAGCATTCACATAAAAAAGAAGAAGAAAAGAAAAGAAACAGAAACTGAGAGTTTAATAATTAATTCCAAAGAAAACTCTCAAAACTAGTTACAACCTCATTCTCTGGCACTGCGAACTCATCATTAGCAGCATACCTATCATCACAACCATCTTGTGTTGTCTGTAACCATGGCAATGGTGGCTGATACATCCACGTGTCATGCGAATCCACGAACACAAACTCCTTCCCCAACTCGTAATTACTTGTTTCCAACCTCGGCAACTCAATGATCTCGCCGAGTTCTTCTGAACCAGTGGACAAGTCCAATGGTGAAACCAACGAGGATAATGAAGAGGACGATGATGACAACGTTGTTGAAGCCAATGATGACGACGAGGGTAAGTCAAACTTGTTCATTTGAGCAGCTTTTGCTGCAGCAGCTTGAACATCACGAGGTGCTAACGAAGCAGGTCGAGGGAGAGAGTTTGCAAGCTCAGGGAAGTTGAGAATGGCGTTGTTTCCTTTGATGCTAAGAGCAGCCACGTCATGTGCTCTTGCTGCCATTTCTGGTGTTGGGAATGTGCCAAGCCATATTCGAGATTTCTTGCGTGGCTCTCGGATTTCAGATACCCACTTCCCCCAATTTCGCATGCGAACTCCTCTGTACAATGGGTGCTTGTTCGAGTCTCGGTTGCGTTTTGTTGTTTTGGATTCTGGGTCGTCGTGAGTTTTCGCACGTGAGACGAGTGAGTTTGAAGATGATGTTGGTGGTGGTGATGATGAGAATGAGTTTGAGCTGCTCTCTGCTTCAAAATTCTGGGATGAAACTCTCATTGTTGATTTAATATTTTGGTGCTTCGGTTGATGTAAGGTTTGAAGGAAGTGTGGAATTTGGAAATTGATGAAAGAGCAAATTGATCTGCTAATGTCTTTTTTTATATTTTTATTGTTACTTTGCAAATGAGTCATATAACACTTATAAAGGTTGATAGAGGACCCACTAGAGAAATGGGTCGTCCTGCTAGTCCTAGTGGGTACAAATACGATGGATGGGTCACCCCTTCTTTGTGCCACGCAATTTTCCTTTTGGTTTTTGCTCTGCATGTGTACATATATACACTGTTAACTTTATCCTAATCTTTAACCGACCCTTGGTTTCACTCTTACACTGTTCATTTGTCCTTTATCCTTCTTGTATTCATTCAAATAGTACACAGCTTTTCAGCTCCATTACCATTTCCCCTTTATTATATGCGTCCTTTTTTTTTTTTTTTTTCAACCGATTATAATTTCATATTCACGGAAATATATAATTGTAATTTTAAAATATTTTTTTTTCTCTTTTTAAAAATTATATGCCGATATGAAGAAAAAAAAATAGTTTTACAATTATAATTATATATTCTTAGAAATACATAATTATAATCAATTGTTTTTTTTTAGTAACAGAAGAAGTACATTTTTCTTTATATATATATATATAGGGTTTTGTATCTATAATTTAACATGACCACAACAACTTTCCTACACACACGACATTTTGTGGGACCCACAATTTTTGAAACCAAAAAAAAAAAAAAAAAAAAACTCTGGCACGCAAAACGAATCTCTATAACATAACACAATCACTTTTCCTACAACATAACTCTTATTAAACCCATATATATATAGGGGATAACATTAGTCATGTCGCAGGAATGAAGTTTTCATCTTGCCCTCGTAAATTTATGTGGGTCTCATGCATGTTAAAAAAAAATTAAAAAAGAAAAAGAGACAGAAACAGTAATCGATGTACAATATTATTTTTATATTTACCACATATATATATATATATAGAGAGAGAGAGAGAGAGTGAGAGAGTTAGGATCCTTTAATACCAGTGTCAAATTTAAAATTTGACACCTCACTGAGAGCCGTTAGATCAAAAAAGATCAATGATGTCACATGCTTACAAATCATAGTCGTTGATATTTTTTGATCTAACAGCTCTTAGATGAGGTGTCAAAGGATCCCTGCCTCTTTCTCTCTTATATATATATATATATATATATATATATATATATATATATATATATATGGTCAAGATCATTTTACATCAGTGTAAGTTACACTCTTAATCTTGTTCGTTGATCCCACTTATATCTAAGGGCTCTAATTTTTTAATAATGTGAGTCATTGGATACAAGTGGATCAATGGTCAAGATTGGGTGTCAAATTTCTAACTCTTACACCGGTATAAGAATATCCTGCTCCAAATATATATATATATATATATATATATATATATATATATATATATATATATATCCAACTTGCCCTTTTCCTATTGCAAATATTTAATGTTATGTTTATATATATGGAAAATATAACCCTCGTGTTGCATAAGAAAACTATCTTATGCTATATATTCATAGAATTTTGTGCAATTTTTTTTTCATTGTAGACCCCACATATTTATCTCACTCACATGAGAATACTATCTCCAATAATATGAGATTAGTATATATATATATATATATATATATATATATATATATATATATATATATATATATATATAGAGGAAAGATATTTTGACTACCAAAAGTGTCCACTACCACTTTACTACCTATCAAATCACCATTGGATCAAAGAGAGAGAATGTTAAAAAGTTTTTGAAGAGAGAGAAAATGTTAATCCAATGATGATTAGATAGGTAGTAAGGTGGTAGTGGAAACTTTTGGTAGTCAAAATATCCTCCCTTATATATATATATGGGGCAGGATCATCTTACACCGGTGTAAGAATAATAAATCTTACACCAAATCTTAATCATTGATTTTCTACATCTAACGGTTAAGATTTATTAGGTCTCACTCATTAATTAATTTTTAATTCCCAATAAATCTCAACCATTGAATGCACGAAAATCAACGGTTAAGATTTGGTGTAAGATTTATTATTCTTACACCTGTGTAAATTGATCCTATCTCTCTCTCTCTCTATATATATATATATATATATATATATATATATATCTTTGATCAGAATCCCAACTACATTTTTCATTTCTCTCTTCTATTGAGATTCTCATCTAACAATATTAAAGAGTGATAGGCAAAGGTAAACAGAAAAAATGGTAGGTAGAATAAAATATATCTCATATATATATATATAACTTATTCGTTGCAGCTTGGCAGCAAGATTGGTTGGTGGATTTATAAATGTTAATGGTGAGGTAACAGGATAGCACTAAGAATGTAATTAGGTTGTTAATTTTGTACTTCTATATTGGCATCATGCTACTAAGTTAACTCTTACGCGTGCCTCTTTATTTCGATTACGTACAAGGGTACTAAAAAGGATGTTTCATGCAGAAGGGTTTGATTTTTGAGGCTCTCAATTCACTGGCCCCAACTTTCAACTCAAAGGTGATTGAACTAACTAACGATCTTTCCATCCATCATCCATGTGCTATCATCATCCGGTTTTAATACATTCACACTTGGCTGTTAACCCATTGCTTAAATTGATCAGAAATATTTCATTTCTTGGGGAATGCTGTTCCAAATAACTTGGTATGTAACACCTATCAAATTTGTTAAATTGATTGCATAAGGTCCATCCTCTATGTGAGCTATTCTAGAGAATATTATATATAACAAACCGAGGCATGTGACTGCCTTTATAACCAGATAGTAAGAGCCAGCAATGATTAGGTTTTTGGACCCTTCTTTGATATCTTCCCTTTTACTATATATTATTTTCCACTCCTAGCAGGTGCAATGATCTCTCTCTTTTTTTCTTCTTCAATTTTAGACTTATGAGAGCAACTAGATAAACTAGTCTGCTAGCTACTTGTACAAAAAATTTTCATTGAGTGATTGTCCAAATTCATAATCTTATAGTAGTGTTGTAAATGCTGTATTTATATTCAATATGCTCTTCTTGTTGCACGTATGGTATGGTGCACCATAGGTGGTTCCAATTGTGCTCTTCTTGCCACGTGCTGATATGTGAACAGAGATTTTACTATAATGGACTAACACCAGACATCGAAGTGACATTGCTTAGTCAAATTTTTCAAAGGGACCCTTTTCCTATTATTAAGACTTGACACATTAAGTTCACCGAAAGAAAGAAGGAAAAAAAAAAAAGATTTAACACATTCCAAATCCTTGTAATTTACAGTGCCAATTATTGCATGATGATTCAAGTAGATACCAAAGAAAGTAATGAAACTAATTAAATCATAATGACTTTGCATTAACAACGACGTGAATTAAATTTTGTCCTCATGGTTGTTGTTGTATATGTACGTTCGCTAGTTTTCAGCCTCCAGAGTATGGCTACTTATTGAGAAGTTGACATTGTACCAATGAAATGAGCTGTTGTCTTAATAAGACTTACGAATTCTATCTGCACAATGTACAAAGGAAAACACTTGGAGCCAAACCATTACCACTCATTTTTTTTTTTGTTTTTTTATTAAGAAAACGATTAAAAAACCTTGATACTGACACTTATGGGCCATATATATATGCATGGATCATGATCTGAAGGCCCGACAAGGCCACTCCTATTTAATACCTAAGTTGGTGAATGAAGGGTTTATGTGTTACAATATTAGTCCCAATTTCATGATTTGTTTTGGCATTTTCATAAAGTTGAGTTTCTCACTTGTGATTAATTAACCAAGGAGTATGTTAATATGTTATACATTCTATAATAAACTTAAATGTTTGAGGCAAATAGCATTATCTAGTGTCACGGTTGTAATTAGCAAAATCCAAGATTAAGAATTCTGAATATTCAAAACATGTATAATACTATCTTCCCAAAATCAAGGATTTGACTTTGCATTTACTGAGAGATCTCGGTCTGATCAATCAAGTCACCATAAACCTTCATTCTTTATGCATATGTACATGTCATTATTCAGTGCTCTTTGTTGTTAAGATGTTTCTACCTTGTTGTCAAAGGTAATGATAATGATCTAACTGTCACAAAGGATAGGTATTTATCATCCCATATTCCCATGTATGTAGATATTTCTGCTTTTTATTATGTACCGAAAAAAATAAATGCAGTTCAACCTCGGGTGTTACATGGATATTATAATTATATCACAAATATAAAATAAGAAGCTGCAATATGTGTGTGTGTGTGACGCTTTTCTTTCATTGGGTGGTGTGATTTTGTAGATTTAATTGTTTATGGGTGAACAGAGGTTAGGGAAGTGAGTCCTCACTGAAAAATTTAGCTTCACCGCTTGCTAGCTATAGTGTCACATGCATTGCCCATACATGGAAAGATGTAGCACACTTCTACCACATTAATTACATGTGTAGTAAGTGGGACCCCTGATTTACCAAATTAAAGATGCAATAATAAATATATCTCACTCATAATATGGTCTCTCTCTCAAAGATTCTGATGTTATTTCATGTTCTATTCACATGGAATTCAGGTGATATCTGCAGGCTCATGCATGAACTTCTTACTTTGTATATGTAATACTTAATATTATGCATTCAAAGTGCACAGTGGGACCTGACTGAAATTTCGTGAATTACAACAGTACCTTGGTGTTCTATTCAAATGTACTAGTTCATGTTCATGCAATGCAAGCTAGCCATGGATTGAAATATTCAAGTAGGAATGAATATTTTGTAGGTTCTTGTCCTTATCATATGAATAATTGCATGCCGTGCCTCCAAAGGTGCATTCATAATCTCGTGCTATACCAATTTGTTTTGTTACTGTGTCATATTCAAATACGACAGAATACAAGTTCCTTTCAAATTCTCTTTAAATATAATGGTTGCATGTCTGACTCAATTAGGAAAAGCGATAATCTTCACCATAAACACGTTGTCAAATACTCCCTTTGGTAGAGAAATGCCAAGCAGCTACCAATCCTTTCAGTCACTTTTAAGGTAAAATTCAGTCCCACTTTTTCTGAGAGACAAACATATCTAATTAGATGTGTAGCAAACGAACTATTCTAATAAGTTTTTTTGTTTTTAAAGATGTTATTGTTAAGAGGTGAAAACGGTGATGACTTAAAATGGAGAACTAAACTGAAAAATACAACCACAACAAATACATGTCCTTATGTTGCTGATGTTACCCTTCTGATTATAATATCAATCATTTTTTCTAAGTAATTATGTTTAAAAGTGGAAGGGACTTCCAATATTAGTTATCCAAATCAAGCTCAACCAGGTTATCAAGAACATGAGCGAAAAAAGAATACAGCCAAATATCTAAACTAAAGAAGGTTGTTATCAGTAATTTAGTTTTCAATCTCACTGCTCAGAAATTTCATGTAATATAGAAAGGCAGTTCAATAGCATCATACAAATTGCCAAAGTAATATAAATTGTATGTTCCTTATTGTCTCATTAAGTTAGAAACATAAAGAATGTCTTCATCTAACTATTGTTAGGTTGCCTGACAAATTTCTTCTTCTTAATTTGTCATTTCACATTTTTTTTTTCCTTTTTTCCTCAAGTTAAATAAACAAGTTTTATGAAGCAATTTCAAAATCTGCTATAGCCATTATGAAGGTTTCCTTCTTACTACCCTCTTCTTCTTTTATGACTTAAAATGAAATCATCATCATCATCTTCATCACTCTCGACAATTCTTTTCTTGGCTTTAATATCACCATTTTTCGATGCCTGTTGTTGCTTCTTGGAAGTTTCAGTTTTAGCGGGTGGCTTTGATGTCTTAACAGGAGTTCCAGTACGTAGCCCCTTTTGCTTCCTCTGCTTCTTCTCAAATGCTTTCCTAGCTCTTTCAGGAGACAGCATGCCATGTTCCATTAACCTGCACATTGAAGTATACATGCCTCAATTTGTAACTTCTGACCAAAGGTTCACTCTACACTAAGTCAGAAAGCGATAGAAGAATAAGACTCCAACCCAATACAAAACTTCATTCAAGAGAGAAATACTTATTATATTGGATAATTATTTAATGTTGAAGGAATCGAGTTGATCCCGCAATTAAACAAAATATCCTTGCAATACAAAAAGCATTCAGATCACTATTTCCCTGAAAATTTTGCCTGTGGAAAGATTGAAACAGAACATTTTCTGTGCATGTTTGAAGGAAGAGTTGTATTATTGAAGTTGGCATAAGAAGTGAAGTTTTGTCATTTTTTTTTTTTCCTTTTTAATATACCGATCCTAATTATCTCTTTGAAGCGAGTTGGTCCCTCGGGTATCCCACAAGCTTCAACTCTTTGAGTTGGTTGGTGGAAATCGAACACAGGTTCTATGCTCACCTACTCAACTTGTGCCGCCAACTGAGCTACACCCATTTGGGTATGTTTTGTCATCTTTTAGACTGAGGTATTGTGTACCATATTAAAAAGAGGCTAAACTTCTTTGGTATGTAAACCCAAATACTATCAATATCTAAGAGACTCAACCCAACTTTGTAAATAAAAAAAAAAAATGGAGGTTTACGGTATCCAAAATTGTCCAGTCTCTATACTCTATAAGGCTTAACCAAGTTGTTGCCTTCTTCATTGTTGGAGAATACTCGACTCCAGAATGAACTGTTGTTGAAACCCAAAATTCACATGTGAAAGGAGAAGCAGGAAAAAAAGGGGAAGATTTAAAGCACCAGAAAATGGGTCCAACAGAGGCTGACAGTAAGGACAAGAAGAGCCATGACATGTACTGAGCTTGAGTTGTCCTGTATGATTGATACTTTTCATCAATTGCCACTTCTTTTCATATTCATTTGGAGTAAAATCTAATGTCAACTACTGTTAAATCCTAAATTACAAATTACTTGTTTCCAGAAAAAATTACAAATTACTTTCCTATCTCATGAATAATTCAGTAAATGATGGTTACTCAATATAGATGAAAGGAAAGAAAAAGGAACCAAAAGAATAAAAATAAAATTGAGGGTAAAGAATGAAATTTGGTGAATCAGGTGTCAAGAAAATAAAATATAATGGAAAAATCGTGGAAGTATTCTTCCAATATTGTCCTTTTCCAGTAACCAATAACAGAAGCTGCAAATTTCAAGTTAAAACATCTTGCCCTTGGGCAACATAAAGAATGATCCTCGGGTTGACACATCTACCAAGACGCCAAAATCCTACAATACTATATGAAGCTCTATTACTATTACTTATGTCTGTCAGTCATCAAATGTTAAAGCACTCCTGCATGGCAATACTGGAAGCTGATTTCACTGTCACCCTTGAGCATAATGCACACATCTAACAAGCCGATACTCAATTAATAATGTCCTCAACAGCACAAGAACATATAGATCTTGCCAAATGTTTTAAAAATACCTTTTTAAAAGACACTATTATCAAGACTTAACACTTAAACCATTTATAATCACTAAATTCATAAAAATGCAAAATTAAAGTGACAGAATAAGTATTTGTAATCAACTAAAAATGTTGACCATTCTCCACTGATTGATAGTGTCATAACGGGATTGCTCATATAAACTCATAATTTTCAGGATCTCTCAGATTTTCACAAAAATCTGTTGGAGGGTGCCTCATTTTATATATATATAGAGTCAAGATCATTTTACACCAGTGTAACTTGCACTCTGAATCTTAATCGTTTATCCTATTTATATCTAACGGTTCTGATTTATTATAAATTTGAGTCGTTAGATACAAGCAAATCAATGATCAAGATTTGATATAAACTTTTTATTCTTATGTAATAATATCCTTCCCTATATATATATATATAACGGCTCAATCTTGACCGTTGATTCTATTTACATCTAACGACTCTGATGCATTAGATATGAGAGCTGTTAGATCCAAACAAATCAATGATCAAGATTTGATATAAGACTTTTTATTCTTACACCGGTGTAAGAATAACCTGCCCCATATATATATATATGTGTGTGTGTATTTATATTGTAAGTAGCACCTGTTTTACTTATTGTAATGGAGATTATACTTAAAAAAGAAGAGAATATTGTGCAAGAAATAATGTTAAAGATAAAATGCTTTTATTTTCTCCAGCAAAAACAATTTGATTTAAACACATAAAATGGAAAGATAAAGAGCAAAAGGAAGTTCTAATTCAGAAGAAGAAAGAGAAAGCAGATAACAAGGCCATGCAAGTTGAATCAAAGATTTCATGCAGTAAAACTTCTTCAAAGATCCAGACACTGTATGCAGAAAGACAGCAAGATTCAATCATGAAGGTAGTAGACCATATAAAAATGCAGAATACTATCAGTTATGAGAGCCACTGAGAAAAAACTGCAAACTGGAAGCTATAGAGAGACAGAAGGCAGCTTTCAGTTGAGATGTACCTCCTTTATTGAAGAGGCATATAATCCTTGCTAGTTACTATAAATGTTACTTGGAGAATTAAGATTCGAAAGGGAATGGATAGTTAAACTCTAACTAATTCTCTATATGTAAGTAAGACTAAATTGGTTTCATTCTCAAATATATGGTTGACACTCCAGTCCTCTAGGATATGAAATTAGAAGTCCAGAACAGATTAGGTAATAGCTAAGCAAGAATGCCTATTCGTCAGATCATAAAGGACTCTGTCAACAAAAAAAAGTTCCATGCAATATCTTTGGATTTATGGAAACGAACACATTCATTTCTATGGTAAACAGCTATATATAATAGTTCTTCTGCAGCAGATGCAAATCTTTATGAAGTGAAGTAGGAATGGGGGTATTGGCAGATGCTCTAGCATGCTTTATTATCACACACCATTAACCAATGTTAGACCTGAATGAATGGGAAAGGAATGAGGCCTTCTCTAGTGATGCAAATGAAGACAAAAGCAGTATTTACATCAAGGTCACTTATCAATAGCAGCATAAGTTTTTTTGGTAAAACAATCAGGGTACTTAATGGTATTAAACATTAATTTGTTTCAGAGTAATGCTATATCTTCTTAACATCCTCCTAATTACCTAAACAGAGTGTTGAATGAAAAAGTAGAAGCATTTAATGCCTTGAAAACCCAAAAAACATTTAGTACATTCTTCTTTAAGTAATTAGAAATATCATTAGGAGAATATATAACTATTTTCTGTTTAATTAAAACAGAGAAGTTATAGTTGTTAGCTTATTACACAGCTATCCTGAATAAGTTAGGTTAGGCACATACACAAAAAAACAGAGCAGATAATATCTATCATTTATTAATCTCGTGTAAATAACCTTGGGATAAATTTTTTTTTTTTTTTACAACTTGAAAAAGGAAACTCACCAAAATTCTGCCATTTCACTTGTTGGTATCTGTTTTGATAATGACTCATAGAAAATCCTGAGGGGTTCTTTCTGTCAACAAAGGCCATAAAAAAACACAAATATGAGTGGGAGTTGATAACCACATATATACATTAGTTTTATAATTTCAAGGAATCAACTTGTATGAGTTCAGAACCTGTTCTGGAGGATCATGTTTCTGCCCAGGCAAACTGTAGACTTTCCTCTCTCTCACTTTTGTAGTAGCTGTCTTTGTTATTGTCTTTGAAGATGATAATGTTGATTTTGATTTAACCTACCAAAAAAAAAAAAAAAAAAAAGCATTTAGTTACACAACAATCCTTACTGAAATTTACAGATTTGAGATATAAGAACATATGGTATATGGTGTCAAAATTCTATTTTAATAAAAAGAAAAAGAAAAAGTTCTTATGAATTCGTGTAAGGGAAAATCAAATGCAATTTCTTACGATAAATCACGATGTATTATTTGGAACAATCCACAAAATTCTCAACCCAACTCACCCAATTTCCATCGGTCAGTGAAAACCCAGATAATAAATAGATGTGCCCACAAATTGGAAACTACCCAATTAAGAATTCAATCAAATAACACGACCCATATGTCCAAAATCGCGCCTAAACAACCTGAACAACATAAAAAATTCAAATTTTTAATCATTAAATTCGAAGAGTGATTGATACCTCAGATTTTGTCACAGTTGTGACAGATTTCATCTTAGAATCAGGTGGGCGCTTGGTTGAGCTGTCCACTTTCCTCTTAACAGCTGAAGAATCAATCTTTCCCTTGGAAGAGCCATCTGGGCCACTTGATTTGAGCTTCACAGTACTGCTTCTGATCTCTGTAGCCATACTCGAATCCAATAACAATTTTTTTTTTGCTACAAATTAGATCTGATTGAACTTTCCTTTGTTTTGGTTACCCTTTACAATCTCATTCACAATTACTCCAAATTTATCACCTTTTTTTATCTTTCTTAATGAATTTATCTCTTTTCTTTTCTTCTCTTCTCTCTTAAGGATACAAAAACGAAAAGAAAAAACGTTCAGATTTGCCGGTTAATGTTTGTTTAACTGCCATGTTCCAACTGAGGGATAAAACCTTGTATTTGATATTATTATTTTTTGTGTAAATCTTGGATTTGATATTATTATTTTTTTTGTAAATCTTGGATTTGATATTATGAACCTATATGCATGCGATTGGAGCCTCTTCTGGAAAGACATTTATGCCCTTTAAACCAGGCTTAGTCTTATTGGACGGTGAAGATTTTGAGGGAACATATATGTTAACGTACGGACGACATCATTTGATCAAGTACTTCGAGAAACGCAAGCACAGTGTTTTCACTGACTTTCACGTGAACAGTTGTTGGAACCCATGCGAAAATAAGAATAATAATTCCTCGTAATGGAGATATCATGCCTCAAAATCACAAATATTAGATACATTAAATATAAAATGAGTGCACTATCATTATAAATATATATTTTTAATAATTTTACGCTTGCATTTGATAGTATATGACAACCACGTTAGGTAATAAATTTGACACCTGATTGTTAATAATAATATAAGCAGTGTCATTAAATAGTGTATTAAGATAAATTTGACCGACAATGTAAGAAAATTTACACTAACAAAATTTACACCAAGGCCAAGTCAAAATCAAACTCATTTAACAGAAGGTTGACTCAAATGACAATATAGGGGTGTATTAGATTAAGATTTTAAAAAATGTTTTTTGAGATAAAAAATCTTGTAGATTTTAAAAGATTATTTAGAATTGGAGAGATTTTAAAAACTTTTTTAAATGACTTTTTTTACAATCAATATTTCATAAGATTGGATTTTTAAAGATTTTAATAGAATTTATAAGATTTGAAAAGACAATATGGATTTATAAGATTTTAAAAAACATATAAATTTTTAACAAACATTCAAAATTACAAGAGTCGATAAAAATAATAATAAAAGAAATGCAATGAAATTGATAAAAAAAGTAAAACCTAATATAATTTTCTCAATCAGTGAAACATAATATACTTTTTAACAAACATTCAAAAATTACTAAGCAACAATTTTTCACATACTTTTTAACAAACATTCAAAATTACTAAGCAACAATCTTTCACATATCTAAAGTTATTATGGTCCTCCATGCATTAGAATTTTCTCGTTCCTGCCCTTGGATTTGACCAATGGGTTAAAAATTATCTTCTTCGTTTGGTATTAAAGCTATGCATATAGGATTATAAGACCTAATTTTCTAATTATTAAATTAATTATAAATTTCCATATAGAATCTAAAGTTCATAATAAAATTTCGTTTAGAATTTTTTGCAATTGATCTTGAAAATCTTGGGATTTTTGTTCTACGTGATGAGAGTTTTCTAAGCATATTTCATATGCATATTTTCATTGAATATTCTAAGAAAATTTCAAATCTGAATTTTTAGATTTTATTACATGAAAGTTTAGAAAAAATTTCAATTTTTTTTCAATTGATACATTGAAACTTTAAGTTGCTTTGGGGCTTTTGAAAAATAAGTTTTTAGTTATCTATTGACACAAAAATTATTTGAAATCGTTTCCTATAGTGAAGGAATTTCGTTCATGAATGTATTGTTATGAAATATAGGATTTATATTATGAAAGTTTCAATCTTTCTTTAAATTGATATTGTTTCATTTATGTAAAATGAAAATTGGTTTGAGGATTTTAGTTTCCATGTTATTTCCCTACTGTTTTATGTTATTTTTAATACAAAAATGACACATTTTTGTGCCAAGAAAAACCGCGACCCATAGCTTGAAAAACCACTTTTTAAATTACCAAAATTTCTCAAAAATATGATGTTTTTGATATAGATTATATTAAAATCTCATTGGTTTGTTATTTACGGGTTGTTTTGTGATGAAAATCTCTAAAAAATATGCTATTTTTGAGTTTTGACGAAGCTCCCACGGGCGAAACCCGAATTCAAGTAGGTCAACTTGTAAAGAAAACACTATAATATAGAAATCATCTCAAGAAATCCTAGGAGCTAGAATAAGATTGTGAAAGAGATCTTTACAAAAAAAAAAAAAAAGATTGTGAAAAAAACATCCTATTTATATTTATTACTAAAAAGTCTCACGAAATTTACATCAATAGAAAATCCATTAAAATCGTTAGATTTTTTGAATACCACAAGATTGTTTAAAATCTTGATTGAATATCAACGGATTTGGACGGATTCTAAAATAATCTTTTAAAATCCTAATCGAATATCACATGACTTTTTTTCAATCCATTAAAATCTTAATCGAATACCAATAAATTTTTGTGTTCAAAAATAATCTATTAAAATCTTTTAAAATCTCAATCTAATACACTCCCTAAATCTCATAGTTGGACCAAACCTGAATAATTGACACGTCACTCTACTTTAAGATTAGTCTCATGCCTATGTAAGCCGCACGGGTGGTGAAAATATCAAGGGATATGACTTGATCCAAAGGAATAATTACGATCATGAAATAAAAAAATAAAATAAAACTCATCTACATTTTTTTAAAATTTAATAAAACACTTTTTTGCCTATTTGTATAACCCCTTTAATTCCACTATTGTAATATGAAATAACAACGTTCCATCCACTATAGCAATGCCTCCATTACTGCTGCTACGGTTTTTACAATTATTCACATCTTCTAAAAGGAACTTCAACTGAACTGCTAATCAGCACAGGAAAAAAAAAAAAAAAAAAAATTAGAGAAATTTTTGTGTACACCAAACCTCCAAAGCTGTACGCAACAAATGACCATACCAACATTATATATTTGGTGACCAAAATTTCTCAACTTGGCAACCCAAAAAAAAAATAAAAAAAATCTATCAACCTACTCTTAACCTTTCACAAAGTTATGTAGCTGGTGCAGAGAAGACTCTGTTGTACCAAATAGAATGAAGTATCATGTGAAATATATCATACTTGACAGGGTCCTTGTGCCAAAGGAAATGCTGCTGTACCTTTTTGACCCTCATCTGCATTGAAAGATACCTCCTTTCTGGGATGGAAAGGAGTATATTTTTCAAATTTGGAATATCCTTCTCCAAAACAATTACAGCAAAGGACTCCCAATTCAAAACCTCAAAAAAGGGTGGTACAAAATTGTCAGATATAATAACTGGAACACATTCATAGAAAATGGCTTCCACAACTCTTGGACTGTTCACTTCATAACCTTTTGCACAAATACAGTACTTGCTGCTCTTCATGTACTGGATGTAATCCTTATTTCCCTTAGACTTAGGCATTTTCCCAAAGATCTTCATCTCAGGATCTTTATTTTCCCAGTGCTGCAACAAAATTGGCCTAACATAACCATGCATTTTCCCTGCAAAAAAGGCCAGAGTTGTTTTCTTGGAAGCTGGATTCCCACCAAGTTCCCTAGTGGGATTTTGAGCATTGCGGACATACGTTTCAGGAAGAGATGCATCCTTCCCAAAGACAAAGCCTTCTTTTACATCAGCATTGCAAAGGGCTTTTATGCACTTAGCCATGTGCACCTTTGTTTCTGCTGGTGCCTGCATAGGGGAGAACTATCTTTGTATCAGAATATAAAATGCATGAGACTAATCTTATAGAAAAAAATCCAAGTTTTAGTTTGTGTTCCACAAAGGATATAGCATTGAATTTGAATGTGAAATGACAAAACATTAAGTGTCTCCAACAAACTGACACATGAAAGACATTAATTGAAAGAGGAAAAGCATACCCAGTCATGGCAAGCTACAAGAAAATGATCAGCACCTTCAGTTCTATTCCAGAAAGGGTGTTTCCCTGCAATCATGTCTACATAATTATCAAGATACTGAATCAGGTTCTTATGACTATGTGATCCCTGTATATACAAGGTTTCCTCTAGCATTCGAGAACTGAAAGGTAAGTAAAACAAGTGTGCTTTCTTTGGGTCTTTAGTTACAAATCTTTTGTTAGCTTCCATCAGCTTCATGAACCATCCCTCAGAAGCATAAATTCCTGTGAGAAATGGTGAATGCAGTATGGGTCTAGCTCCTTCTCTGTATACAAAGACTTTGAGAGTCTTTTCCATTAACTCATAGCTCCTGAAAATTAGACACAAGACTATTAGAAAGTGAAATGTGAATTCATCAGCACCATAAAGCATCCTGTTTTATGTATCATTGGTACTACACAGTTGGATACATCTTTTACAGAATCTCTAGTATTTTTTTTTTCATTGTGAAGAACAATTAGTATGATTAAACCTTTGCAGATATGAAAATGGCTCAGGAAAATAATATTAAACCTCCTTAGTCCTTAACCTACTATAGTCACATTTAGCAAAATGCACAAATCTGCCAAGTGTTTTTTTTTTTTCTCGTGAACAACAAAGAAACTCTTCAGTATCAATAAATGCAGCAATTATTATATTTATGTAAGGGAACATTACGATCGCAAAACGGATTTCACTTATTTCATCAGAATGGTAAATAGAAGTTCTCTATAATAATCTCACTCTGTCCTTAATAATTTAATTCACATTGTCATTAAATATTCTTGTGTTTATTTCAGGAATAGAAATTTGACTGCCATAAGGTACTTGTGAACCTTGTTTTGGGGGAAAATACTTAATAATCAAATAATACCTCTTGAACATGGAAACATTTTGATAAAGAGGAGCATAAAGATTTGGATCATTCTTTACAATAGGTGCATTTTCAATCTCTGATCTGGCCTGTAGTAGCTCTTGATCAACAGCTGAAAACCACCTTGGCCTCTAAAACAAATTAATAATATAAGAGAGGAACACTAGAATATCAAAAAACAAAAATCTCATAGTCTTCATAATAAAGTTGAAATTTCAAACTTTAGCCACGTACCATAGAGCGATATGAAGCATGGCTTTGAAGCAATAACTTGCTCATTTCAGATATAGATGTTACTTCTGGAATTGGTATATGAGAATCTTGATTCTCCTTAGGGACAGTGTTGATGGAGGAATTCTTGCCCAGTATATTGCCATCATTTTGTGATGGCCTGAAACTCTCTTCCTTGATGGAATTAGTTATGTTGTCTTTCTGAAGTGAAGATATTTTGGAATCATTTGATAACAATGCAGTTGTGACATTTGGGGTCACATTTGTTGTAGGACTGAAAGGTGGAGTTAAATATGATGGTGCTTTTTCGGGAGAAGGCGAAGGAGAATATGCATATGAACTTCCAGATTTATGTTCAGGTGTTGAAGTAATGTTTTCTTCTGGGGAATGCCTTGTCAAAAAACTCAAACCTATAGTATTGTTATAACTGCTAGGTTCAAGATCTCCTGCATGCTGTCTTTCAGATACATTACCTTGTTTTTTAATCCTGTCTACCATGGTTTTATCAGACTCATCATATCCTAGAGATTTGTTTTGTGGACTTTCTGGTTCCAAGACAAAACCAGTTCTTGGAGTAGTGTCCTTTTCCCCAGGCATCCTAGTTTTATTAGCTATCTCAAGTGCATTTTCACCAATAGAGTTTGCTCCATTGAGAATTGTCACATTGTTAACAATTTCGGACTCAGACAGCGGATCTGTAGCTTGCAAGATACTACTTCCTGATGTTGGTATCTTGCCAGCAGAGAATAAAGGGAGTACAACATTACCATATGGAAGCTCAAGATACTGAAAAGCTATGATCACTGCAAAAGTAGTGCCAATAAACCATAGCAATTTCTTTGTTTCCAGCTGAAACAAGGACCAAAATTCTTGACCCATTTTGCTAAAATTCTTCAACTACAGTCAGTTGACTAGGAATGACCATAGTACCTCTGCAGATGTTACCCAAAAATCAGAAATCCAGTAAGAAAGAAACGTTTTTATATATTCAAGAAAATTATGCAAATTTTTGCTCCTTTACCCCTCAAATACACCCAACTGAAACACAGGGCACCATAGAAAAATTGACAATGGCAAAAAGGCTAACCAAACCAAAGACTATCTTGCCAAAGAATAAACCAAGGTGCTGAGTTCTACATATATATATGAATTCACTTTCACCGAACAGATTTATGAAAATGCACATGCATTTTTTCCTATTTACTCAAAAAATCAAATATAATTGTGGTTGTTTCTCGAAAATAAAATAGTAGTTGAAACTCAAATGTAAATGGCCTAAGAAATGCAGAGAAAGGAAAAAAGAAACAAAAAGGGAAGGTAACTCACAGAACAATAACCAGAGAGTCACAGAGATCAAAAGTCAAGAAACACATCAAAAGGTAATGAATGTCCTCAAAACCCACCAAAATTTGATGTTAACACTTACCAAACATCAAACTAGTCATTTACAGTGACATGCAACAAGAAATGCTCCACTTCAATAATACATCATTCACCAATCACCATGCAAAACCCAATTCAACCAACAAGTCGAATTCCAAACTACAGGTACTACACTACCTCAATCACTTTCTTTTTATATCTCTGAAGGCATGAAAATCATCAAGAACAAAAGAATCAAGACAAGGTGGGAGAAAAAAAAAATAAAGGAAAAAAGAAAAAGAAAAAGACATGAGAAAGCACTTAAGGAGGATATTAACTTATTAACCAAACAAACAACATTAAGCACCTCTGGGAGGAGGTTCCAAGATTTGTTCTTTTTCTCTTTTTGTTTTGCATGCCGTTTCAGATGAACAAAACACCGAAATGGGTTACTTGTAGAATTATTTAATATTTAAAAAAGAGAGAGAGAGAGAGTTGAATAATGGTTAAGAAACCTTACTTGGCACTTACTCTGACGTTGGAAGTTCCTTCCACGCTCTTCCGTTCACACAGGTTTTGAGGTGTCCAGCATGAACCACGAGAACGTGACTTTATTTATATGTGTCAAAGTTTCAAAGTGGCATAGCTGAAGCTTACACATTCGGACACACAATCCATTACACTGTTCAACGCCACCAGCCAATTCAATTTCACTTCAAACAAAAAGGCAAAAAAGAAATGGGATGGCATGTATATTGTTTGAAAACCGACAAAAGAATAGAAACTACTGATATTTGATAATTAATTATGATATAAGTTTTTTATTTATAGAAGTATTGAATCTATTTCATATTAAGATTGTAATTCAAACTTAAAATTGGAGCGGGCATTGATTGAATTATTTTTTGTTTTTGTATGTGTTATTAAATTGGTCTCACCCAGTCGGTCGGATTGGTTGAACCGGGGACTAAATCCTTAATTGGTCTGACTCAATCAATTAATCGGATATGCATATAATTCAATATCTGTTTTCTAGTTGAACTGATTTTTAAAAACTGTGCTAAAATATTCTATCATAATTATATTCTTACTATTCAAATTTGGTACTAAGGAAAGAAAAATGACATGTTAACCATTAAGTCAAATTAATTTAGTTGTTATATTACTTCTATTTATATATTTATCATAGTAGAATATGTTGCCACTATTTTCAAAAATCAATTCAACCAAAAAACAGGTATCGAGTTGCATGCATGGCCCGGTTAATTAATTGAATTAGACCAGTCAAGGGTCCGGGTCTCGGTTCAACCAATCCAACCCACTGGGTCAGGCCAATTTTTTTTTTTTTTTTTTTGTATCCTAGGTCAGGCCAATTTTAATAATACAGACAAAAACAAAAAAACTAATTCATTAAATGAAAAAGAATTCAATCAATTAGAAAGTGACATGTTAACCACTAAACTAAATTAATTTGATTGTTATATTACTTCTATTTATATATTTATTATATATTTACATAAATTTAATTTAAACAATTCGACCAAGAACCCAGTGACCTGATATCACTACTAGAAAAGTCATTATTTTCGACGGAAGAAATTCCGTCGAAATTACTGACGGAATTTTCGACGGAATCCATTTATCGTTGAATTTTTTGACGGAAAACAGATTCCGTCAAAAACTATCGACAGAAAATTGATTCTGTCGAAATGTTTTCGACGGAAAATGAATTCCGTCGAAAACGGATGAATAAAATAAATGGAAAAGAAATTAATTTTGTGAAAGTTTTCGACGGAAAATGAATTCCGTCGAAGATTTTGGACGGAAAACGAATTCCGTCGAAAACAGATGAATAAAATAAAAGGAAAAGAAATTGATTTTGTGAAAGTTTTCGACGGAAAATGAATTCCGTCGAAGATTTTTGACAGAAAATTAATTCCGTCGAAAACGGATGAATAAAATAAATTTGAAAAGAAACTGATTTTGTGAAGTTTTTCGACGGAAAATGGATTCCGTCGAAGATTTTCGACGGAAAACGAATTCCGTCGAAAATAGATGAATAAAATAAATGCAAAAGAAATTGATTTTGTGAAGTTTTTCGACGGAAAATGGATTCTGTTGAAGATTTTCAACGGAAAATTAATTCCGTCGAAAACGGATGAATAAAATAAATGCAAAAGAAACTGATTTTGTGAAGGTTTTCGACGAAAAATGAATTCTGTCAAAGATTTTTGACGGAAAATTAATTCCGTCGAAAACAGATGAATAAAATAAATGGAAAAGAAATTGATTTTGTGAAGGTTTTCGACGGAAAATGGATTTCGTCGAATATTTTTGACGAAAAACAAATTTCGTCGAAAACAGGATTAATAAAATAAATTGAAAAAGAAATTGATTTGGTGAAGGTTTTCGACGGAAAATGGATTCCATCGAAGCTTTTTGAAGGAAAACTAATTACGTCGAAAACAGATGAATAAAATATATTGGAAAAGAAATTGATTTTGTGAAGTTTTTCGACGAAAAATGGATTCTGTCAAAGATTTTGGACGGAAAACGAATTCCGTCGAAAATGGATGAATAAAATAAATGTAAAACAAATTGATTTTGTGAAGTTTTTCGACGGAAAATGGATTCCGTCGAAGATTTTTGACAAAAAATTAATTCTTGTCGAAAACGGATGAATAAAATAAATGGAAAAGAAATTGATTTTGTGAAGGTTTTCGACGGAAAATGGATTCCGTCAAAGATTTTTGACGGAAAACGAATTCAGTCGAAAACATTATGAATAAAATAAATTGGAAAAGAAATTTATTTTTTGTGAAGTTTTTCGACGGAAAATGGATTTCTTCCAAGATTTTTGACGGAAAACTAATTCCGTCGAAAACGGATGAATAAAATAAATTGGAAAAGAAATTGATTTTGTGAAGTTTTTCGACGGAAAATGGATTCCGTCGAAGATTTTTGACGAAAAACGAATTTCGTCGAAAATGGATGAATAAAATAAGGGAAAAGTGTCTATCATTTAAAATTACACAACTTACATCCTTTCACTCTCACAAAGAGGCGGGACCCACACCTTTATTTTTTTGTCAACTCTCTCTCCTACTTTATCTATCTCTTTCTCTCTCTTAAAATGACACAACTTTACATCCTTTAAAATTATACACAATTTTCCCATAAAATAAATGCAAAAGAAATTGATTTTGTGAAGTTTTTCGACGAAAAAAGGATTTCGTCGAAGATTTTTGACAGAAAATTAATTCCGTCGAAAACGGATGAATAAAATAAATGAAAAAAAATTGATGTTGTGTAGGTTTTCGACGGAAAATGAATTCTGTCGAAGATTTTTGACGAAAAATTAATTCCGTCGAAAATGGATGAATAAAATAAATGGAAAAGAAATTGATTTTGTGAAGTTTTTCGACGGAAAAAATTTTCCGTCGAAAAAGGATGAATAAAATAAATGGAAAAGAAATTAATTTTGTGAAAATTTTCGACGAAAAATGAATTCCGTCGAAGATTTTTGACGAAAAACGAATGCGTCGAAATCGGATGAATAAAATAAATGGAAAAGAAATGAATTTTTTGAAGGTTTCGACGGAAAATGGATTCCGTCGAAGATTTTCTACGAAAAATTAATTCCGTCGAAAACGGATGAATAAAATAAATTGTTAAACCATATTTTTTTTTCACATTTCCCTCCACAGTTTCCATCTTCTCTCCTAAAGTCCCCTCTCAATAATTTTTTCCCCCTCGTGACTGACATTAAGAATTTCAGCGGCAATCAATGTCCCTTTCGCACTTCCCACTCCAAGGCCCTCTCTCTTAGAAATGAAGACGCTCGCTCCTTTTTCACTCGCCGCTTCACCAAGGCCCTCCCGCATCAAGTGTACTGGTTCGCTTCCATACTAGAGGATGAAAATAACAGCTATAAACAATTAATTTTGTGAGAATGGTTGTACAAATCAATTACTTGTTCGGGTTTAATAACATTGGTTTATGTCATTTTATTTTAAATTTATCTTTTTTATCATAATCCTTCATTTCTTTTATCTTATTTGAAATCCATTATTACTATTTATGCATGTATTAATATAAAAAGAATGATCTCAGTTTAGTTACATTTTATTTATTGTAATTATTAATATAATTTATTGAAAGATAAATGAGTAAATTATAACTTACCACCATACAGTTAGGTAAGTGATTTATGATTAAAATAATTTATTTATTATCTAAAAAAATTAACTTATTTATACTTATATTACGATAATAATTAAATATATCTCTTAGTTTTAAGATAAGAAACATACTCATATTCCTTCACTCGTAGTCAGTCTGCACCTAGGGGTATAAATGAGTTGAGTCGAGTCAAACTTTAACTTAAACGAACCAAGTCTATGAAAAATATTTTGAGCTTGGCTTGGCTCATTAACTTGGTACGAGCTAAATTCTAGGCTTGGCTTGCCTCATTTGCTTGGTACGAGCTAAATTCTAGGTTTGGCCTGGCTTAGTTT